GCTTAGTTCTTTAACAAACCCAGAACACAAACTTTGAAAATTGAAATCCAGAAGATAGAGAATTCTAAACTTGATGAACAGATAAATCGGACATTGCGAAGTCTCCAAATTCGTCATAATTTTTTTTCTGATAAACAAAAAGAAATCTGGGAAATTTGTAAAGAGGAGGCGAATTCTAGGGTTCTTGTTCATCTGATTTCTTGGGTTCATCAAATCGGAAATAGAAGTGAGGATTGTGAGAGGAGAAAGTAGGAAGCAGAGTAAGGTATNGAGCATGANAATGGAGGTTGATGTAGTCTCGAAGCCGTTGCTTTCTCCGTTGAATGGAGGTTGATGTAGTCCCGAAGCCGTTGCTTTCTCCGTCGAACCCGTTGCTTTCTCCGTCGAACCCATCGATGCCGGATCAAAAAAAGTGGATCGGAATTTGGTTTTGGGGAACGGTTTTGGTTTNGGATAGGATAATCNCGTATTAATCCGGTTAAAAAGGTTTTGAATGGTTAAGTTTCCACGAACTAAAAGTTAAAAATGAAACGGTTTCCAAGCAGTAAACCATCTTTATGGGTAAATAAAGATGAAACTTTGATTTGGTGGTGATATAACATTTAACTTTCAATTTGTGGAGATATACATATTTAATTTTTAGTTCGTGGAAATATATATAAAGGATAACATTTAGGAGACATATACACGTATATCAAAGTTTTGGTGGAGAAATAAATAGTTTTTCCGATTTTAACACCTAAACTATGGTTGCAATTTTGTAAATTACAAGGAGATTTTAGTTTTGCAATCCCGCCAGACCCAACAGCATTGAATGTTAGTTTTGTCCCAATCATGAGAATGAAACTTATTACCTTATAATGTTTTTGTTACTTCATGTAACATAACAGAATTTGTGAAGAAAAAAAGGTTTCAAAATATTTCTCTGATAAAAAAACATGCCGTTTCACAATATCGCCAACTGAACAAACAAATAGTTTTTTTTTAGTTCATAACCAACCAAAACGTCAAAGATGCCAAGAGAAGAACGGCACGTCGTTGATTATCATCACCTAGGCTCTGAAATGGGTATAGACCCAGGCTCATCACAACAGGACGTATAAACCTGCCGTTTTTATACAAAGCAAAGAAGTGTCACAGTCATTGACATGCTCTCAGTCACATACCTTCTCCCAATCATCCACCACTTCTTCCCCGGAGACTTCCACTGGTTGTTTACCGGCTGCTTTTGAGCTGCTACTCCCTTCTGTCTGAGCCGATGGCTCCAACGCGGATGTTTGCGGCTTCTCGGGCTCCAGAACACTCCAACGGTTGACCGAGGTAGCGACTGGAGGGTTGCTCTTTGCTGATTTCCACGCAGAGGCTTGAATATCAGTAGATGATCCTCCAATGGGGGAGTCTTCAGCTCCCCAGGAGTCATCATTCTCCTGAATCACTGCTTTCTTCCATGGATTTCCTTTTTGAACATCCCAGGCTGAGCTGCTGGGTAACTTTCCCCACGCTGATGAAGATTGCACACCGTTCTGGACAACCACGGCTCCATGGTATACGGAACCGTGGTCCAGCCTCCTCATGGCAGTGGCGGCTCGGGCATGGTCATGGAACACAGCTAGAGCGTTCTTGTCATTCAGCCAAACAAGCTCACATTCTCCCCCAAATCTCAGCACCAAAGCGCTGATATTCGCCTCCCTCGGGAGATCCAGTAAAGAAACCACAAGCCCAGGATCCATATCCACCAGCGGGTCAAAAGACGGTGGGTGTGGGCCGCCTACCGAGACAGCAGCAACCTTAGCTCCAATGATCCGTGTTGGTGGTTTCGACTTTGGTGTTACGTGAACAACTGTAAACCGTTTTGGCTCCCACCCCGCGTTGCTAACCGCAAGTTTCCACCTCTCAGCTAAAAGCCGAACTGTGTCTCGTTTATCCTTCTGCATCGGGCAGAAGACATGGACCTTGAGGGTACTTGTGCTGCCTCTGGCTTTCCCAAGTACCAAGAACTTGAAGCGCTCTTCAACAGCCAGTACCCACTTCGGATCACGCCTATAAATGTCTGATATAATCTCTGTCATAGCAGAATTCTCGCTGAAATGTAAAGAGTCCAGATTTGGGGGAGTGATATCAAATGCATCCTGCAGAACCCGCTTACGCTCCAGCTTAGCACACTCATCATCACACGAAAGCTTTCTCTGCCCGAGAGGAATTCGATTTCCGTCCGACTCAACAGGCTGAAGCGGAGTTGGAAGCTTCTGCAAAACAGAGGCTTCAGAGACCGAATTAACGAGAAGATTGTTGACACTTCTTCCTCCAGCATCACAAGGGACTGTGGCGGTTATGCGACCACACGAACAAGTAATTGTAACTGAAAATTCACATCTTGAGTCAGGGCAAGGCTCAGAAGGATGGCAGAGTGCTGCACAAGTGTGCCTGCAATCTCTTCTAGGAGCCCCACACGGCTGTCTGCATGTAACACGCAGACCTGCTTCAGATTCATTGCAACTGTCACAAGGCTCCGGGTGACAAGTTCTCGCACAAGCATGCATGCCACAACGCCTCGTCTTTCCACAAATCTTGTTACATCTAATGTCTTTCAACCCACAGGGTATGTTTCTGAGAACCACATGACCACCAACGCATTTCTTTTCCACAGGGGCAGAACAAGGAGGGCAATCTCCAAAATGGCATCCATGTGTAGCAGAATGGCCACAAGGCTGAGGAATCGAGCATGGAAGCTGGCAGCTAGGGACAGGTGTCCCACATGGTAATGGTGGAGGAATTGAAGTACTTCCACATGCACACGTAAGATCATTGAAAATCACCTCGAGACAAGGAGGGCAATGGCCACTGTGACATAAAGATTCACATGAATGCTGCCCGCACCTTAGTTTCTTCCCACAAGGTAATTGGCAGATGTGTGGGTCCCAATCGCCAGATAGATCATTCTTCTTCGCGTTCAAGAGAGGGCAGCAACGCTCGCTACATCTATGCCTCCCACAGTTCTTCTTACGCCCACATGGCTTAGCGCACACAAACTTCTCCGACTCTGAAGAAGTTGTTATGTAGCATTCCACAGTCCTGGATGTTGACCCACACCGACATTTCTGGTTGACTTGGACTAAACAAGGAGGGCAATCACCTGCATGGCAGACCTCATTGCAAGTATGTAACCCACAAGGAAGAAGCTTCCTGCATATGTTTGAACAAGAAGGAATTGGATCCAAGCAACTCCGCCTGGTCTGTTCTTCTATACGCGTTTTCCCACAATAGCATGTCTTAACTCTACTGGGCAATAAGTCACAGTCCCCGCAAGGTCCAGGATGGCAAACCTCGGAACAGAAATGATTACCACATCCAAGCGGCATCTCACAGTTAAAACTGCACGAATACACACCATCTTCTGCTTTCAACTCTCCCTTCACATTCATATCTCCGCAAATGACAGTCTCCACCTTTTTCTTGCAGAAACATTTGGCATTTACCAATACCTGACAAGGATCACAAGGGCCGACATGACATGTCCTTTCACATTGATGACGCCCGCAATTGAGAAGTTTCTCGCAAAGCTGTCCACAAACAAGATCAGTTCTCCGCTCGGAGCATCTAGTAGTAATCATCTTCTTACCACAAGGACAGCTACGAGGTGGAGCAAATGCCTTGCAAGGAGGACATGGACCAGGATGACACTGCAACACGCAGACATGAGGACAAAAATCCTCTTTAATCGTCCCAGCTGCTGCGAACTCTTTCTCTAGAGGCTTCCCACATGGTTCCCCGCATGAGTGAGGAGTCAGATACGGATCAGACGGTGGATCTTTTCTCTTTCCACAAAAGCACCGATAGCATATCTCTTTAGATGATGTCAACTGTACAGATTGGCAACCTGGGCATCTCCAATTATCACCTTGATTTTTCTCAGCCAGCAAATCAATCGAAGTTGGTGCTCGAGCCCATCTCTTGATACAATTCATATGGAAAATGGAGTAACAGCTGGAGCAAGACCAGATATTGGCAGACCGCCCAACCTTGTCATAACAAATCATACACTCAATAGTACTCTTCACGAGCTTCTCTTGTAGCTCTTGAACAAGTTGAGGCAAGTTTGGGTCTGTCAACACAGTATTCTCTTCCTTAGCTACCCTTTTCCCCTGATTGACAGGCCGTGTCCTCGATGCAACTCTTGGGCGATTATCAGGCAGATTTCCTGGAGCATTATTTCTTCTTTGTTGATTCGGTGGAGGCGGACCAATGTTATTACTCCTTTGGTGCTGGTTATAGGGCGGACGACCAGAACCATTATGCTGCCTTTGCAGATAAACAGGACGGGATGCAGCACCAACATCAATGCTTTCTGAATTAGGAGGAAGCGAAGGCTCATTTGCAACCCCGACCGAGGTAGATGCACCTCTAGGAATCCATGTTTGCTGAGAATTCTGAGGATTGAATCTAGGCCTATCTCTCCTGACTTGAGAGCTCATATTCTTCTCTGACTCTACAAATACAGAACCAGATCCTGTACCCGTCACTGTTGGAGCAATGGGTGTGTACCTTATCACAAAGTGTTTCTGTAAAGATTGAAACCAATGAGAAAAATATTCAGATTCTAGCAATTAGTAATCTTTCAAAACATTCATGACCCATTATCTTTGCATTATCCCTAGATAATTCTTAAAAAAAAGAAATACAATCAAACCAATCTATATAACAATGAAATGTTACACACATCTACAACGATTTAAAGTAATTACGCCAATTTCAACGAATCCAAAGCTGAAAGCCCGTAATATGGTTCTGAACTAATATGGGTTACAAGATTCTCAACTATTCCTCGTTCTTCGCGATCTCAAAAAAGGAGGTAAAATCAAAGTGCCCTAGTTATCATTATCTAAGAAATTTCGGAAACCCAGAGCTACGAACACATAATCTCGCTTCGAAATCGAAGCATAAAAGAGATTGATAAAAAAAAATTAACAAACAAATGATTTGAAGCTCATAGACAAAGGGGGAAAAAATTGATACCTTACCAAAAAAAACGAAAGGGAACAATCTCCGAAATCAATTACAGGTGAAAAATTTGATTAGTTCCTCGATTTCTCAGGGAGAGAAAGAGAGAGAGAGACTGTAGGAGAAAATGGAAAGAGGAGGAGGAAGAAGAAGATATATATAGAGTGAAAGTGAAAGACCGCCTTGCAGCCGAAGGAGAGAGAAAGAGAGACGAGCACGAC